TTCCCGTCTCTAGTAAATTCGACCAGAAACTGTAATGTCACTCTAAATATCAGGAAATAAATAAAATAGCATAACCCCATCATGCAATCTAGTATCATCACTAAATGAGGCAAGAATACAAATATAAAGAAGTTTTACGTGCCTAATCAGTGCACATGAACTAGGAGATGCAGCTTACTTACATTGCAAAGAAGCACTATCAATCATTAGTGAGTTCAATGCTGATACATTACATACATTCAACATTATTTCTCCATCAATTATGGGTAGGCCAAGCGTGCATACATGTGCAAGAAGAAAATTCAACAAACAATCTTCAAACATATATAACACACGTATATACACAAATCGACAATAGTATTCATGCATAAAACTCCATGTGAAATGAGCAAATATATGAAAATCTCTGGCATGTCTGATGTTGAGGTTCTCTTAGGGCCAAACCCATAAGAGACAATTCACACAAGAACTAAGAATGCCCACAAATACTAGATGGTGAGATTTGACTTACGGGAAAAGTAACAATCCTTCCTATTTTTAATCTTAGAGACGGAACAAATCCTCATATGAAGATACCCAAAAAAGAAAAGGTTAAAAGTCAATTGATAAAACAGTACATCATCCAAAAACTCATTCCAACAAAACAGAATGTCATCATACACAAGCAAAATAAAATACACTCGTGTCTCTGAAGTGTGCTCCAGTGCATATCATGACAATTCAAAATCTTCAACTTAGATCAAATATTGCTCAAAGCATCAGTTGAACTGAAATCAGATAAAACAATGGCACAATGACAGTCTCAAACACATTAATGAAAAAAAATAATGCCATCTGTTCCTTCCTTTATTAAGAAATCACCTCTTAGTTCCGAAAAATATACCTAGGAGAGAGCAAGCAAGCCTTTTCCGGAGTCATGTACAGAATGTCAAATTTACCACTCTCCGCATAGCTTTGCACTCTGGAGTCGGTCTGAGCACTAGAGAGATGATCAGCTTTAATGCCCCTTTGTTTTAATGCCATAACCTACAAGATACAGAATAACTCATTCATTTTGTGATTCATTCAAAAGGACGGGCATGACAATCATAATAAGCAAAGTACTTACCTGATCTTGCATCAAAGAAACAAGAGGGCTTATGACCACAGCTGTCTTTTTCACTATCAAGGGAGGAACCTGATAGCTTGATTACATCATTCGAACAAAAAGTGAAAATGGGAAACTAATTGATCACAGCAAAAATTCAACCATTAAGACTGTCATCGAGAGAGTTATTGCTTACCACAATGACTTGCCACTTCCAGTGGCCATGACCACCAAGCAATCTTTTCCATCTACAATTCTTTCGATGATTTCTTTCTGATATGGCCGAAAGGTAGAATACCCAAAATATTTCTGCACCAAAGCAATGGAATTAAAAAAACAACTTCCGTGAGACTCAATATACATATAGACACGAGTGTAACCCTCTGGAGTAGAGTCTTTCAAAGCTTGTGCGTCCAATTTGTAAAAAATAAAGGAAAATAATACAAAAGGAACAGCAAAAAAGAGTAAAAACAACGAAAAAGAAACCATGAGGAAATGTAGAAACCCCCAAGAGTCCAATTCGGTAAAATAAAAAGAAAATAATAGCAAAATCACACAGAAAAGAGCAAACAAAACGAAGAAAAGAACCCTTGAGAATGGACTCCATTTTCTTTAGCATTCGAACCTATAACTCAATATACATATATATTAAAAGTTCTTTATGTAAAGAAGAAAGGAAATCACACACAAAAGGGAAAAAGAATCGTAATAAACCTTGAGAGTGGACTCCATCGTCTTTAGGGTTGCGATCAGACGGCCGCCCGATGAAGAGGAACGATTGGAAACCAGCCTTTCGTAAAGCTTCGGTTCCCGCCCTTTTCTTCCCAATCAATTGTATCCGTATGGGCTGTGGACCCCCTATATATGCAGGCTTTGGGGTAATTACACTTTTCCCCATTAAACTATGACCCAATTTCACTGTATATATTGATCTTTTGGTATTTTGATCAAGAGCAATGTTATTTGAACCTAATTTATTAACCTAATTCATTATAGCATTTGAATTTGGGTACCATGCAAATCATTAAATTTTGGTCAAAAATTAATGCACAAGACTATTTTAAATAGTTAAAGATACAATATGTTCGATTCCATAATGAATAGATAAAAAAAAATTACGATCATAATTTAGAAGTATAAAAGTATAATTTTTAAAGTATGAGAGGCCCATGTAAGATGAAATTAAAAAATATATATGTAATTTCAGTGATCTAAAGCAAAATTTAAAAAACTTAAGAGGGGTTCACGTAATTTTAAAGGTCTAAACTATAATTTCTACAACTTGAGGGGGTCCATTGCCCGTGAATATGACTTTTTTGTTATGGCAGATGACAACATCAGGTTATTATGAACAAATGGATGCTGCAGCTTTCACTTTTTAACCGAAAGTGTTGTAGTTATCCTTTGGATTAAAAAAAACACAAAAAGGTTATTATGAACATCAATAGAAAGGATTACATGAAAATAATCACATCTTTTTTTCTTCCAAGCTATATGATGGCTTCACATTTTTTTTAATTCCCAAAATTTGTTTGATGTGTCAAAACCATCATATATTGATTTAATGATCTCGATCGCTCTATAGTCGCACCACAAAAATAAAAAAAAAAATCTGATAATAGCATGTTTAATATGCTTATTTGCTTCTATTTTGGGGGCCTCAAATATTTTAAATTTAAATATTGACAATTTCTTGAGAATAAGACATAATGAATATCTTAATCTTGACATAGATAGTCTGTTTTTTACTAGACCGAAGAGGAAATTAGTTAAAATGTTCGTAAATTAATCTGAACACTTTAACCGTGAAACAAAACAAAAAAAAAAAAAATTACACCTAAACCCCTTGACATTTAAAATGTTACACATAAACTTCCTAAAGTTTGTACATACATAATACTTCAACCCTTGCCGACAATGTTAGTTAGACTATTCATTAGTAAATTACATTCAGACCCCCTGTAGTTTGTATGTGCGTAATATTTAGACCTCTCAATTTTAAAATATTAAATATTATACTTAAACAAAAAAAAATTCCAATTAAAGATAGAATTAAAATATTTTAAAGTTTACAACCAAAATTTATGTTATATTATGTCATTTATTGATATAAATTCAAAAATAAAAAAAAAATTTAAAAAATCACAATTAGTATATAATTATATTATCTTTTAGAATAAAACTAAAAATATAAATTAAGGATCAAACTGTAATAAACACAATTTTTTCTATCTTTAATTGGGATAGTTTGATCGTTTAATAGATATATTTAGACCTCTCAAGTTTAAAATACTATACTTAGACAAAAAAAAATACTCTAATTAAAGATAGAATATCATATTTTATATTTTATAACTAAAATTTATGTTATATTATATCATTTATTGATATAAAATTAAAAATAAAAATTTAATTTTTTTCTTAAAAAAATTATAATTAGTATACAACTATATTATCTATTAGAATAAAACTAAAAAAATAAAAGAGGAGTCAAACTATAATGGATACAATATCTTTTATTTTTAATTAGGATAATTTTATCGCTAAATAAATAATATAATTGTATACTAATATGATTTTTTTTTTTAAAATTGAATTTTTTTTTACTTTAATAAATAACATAATATAAAATAAATTTTAGTTATAAAATTTAAAATAATTGATATTATATCTTTAATTAAATTTTTTTTAGTCTAAATATAACATTTAAAACTTGAGGGTCTAAGTATTATATGCCTATAAAACTTTAAAAAGTCTGAATATAATTTACTAATGAATATTTTAACGAACATTGACGACATAAATCTAAGTGTTACGCGTGCAAACTCTCAAAAGTATGTATAATATTTTAAATCTTAAAGTTTAAATGATTAAGTGACAAATTTCAAACAAAAAAACAAGAAAACAAAAAACAAAAGAAGACCGCTCACACCAGGACCACAAACACACGAATAAAAAGAGGAAAAACACAAGCCCTCTTAAGAATGATACCACAATGTCGAGAATAAGTTAACAGAGACAACGACCCCTCTAAAGGACACCACTATATAGCAACGGGTATGGCAAATTTCGGAGTAAGCTTCCACTGCTCTGTACACATTTGTTGTAGAGTGCCATTCTGCCCCCCTTTGATACATATCGCCATCTATCAACCGAGGCAGTACATGTTCTTATCATAATCTAATCTTTCTAAGAGGAAAAAAAAAAAAGAAGATTAAATTGAACAGAATCAACATTGGGCAAGAGCAATCATTGAAAGCCACCAGTAAACCATTTTTGTGCGGTGACTCAGTAATCGATATGCACTAATCATACGAGTATAGTGTAATCTACTAAGTACTAAAAATTCACCAGATGCATTGGTTAAGAAATGCGAGAAGTTACTTAGAAAGGTGTGCCCGTATGGAGAAGTTCTAAGATTTATTATTTTAGAACTACACACCATTACTAGTGTGAGATTTGTGGCTTCAAGAAGGTTTATTGGAACTAAATAGTGAATGAGGTACCCAAATGAGAAGTTAGGGACAAATGTTGAAAAGCTGTATTCACTCTACAGTAAACAATTGCACGCCAAGTTATATAAAAGCAAAGAGAGACATGATTCTCTATCCCATCTTGTCCGCACAAAATTTGATGGGTAAAAATGAAACCGCAAAACTCACCAGTTCATAGTTACTTTGTTTAGCAACTCCTGTTGCATTAGGGTCAGCATTGATTCTCAAACTGTAAGAAAAGTCTTTCAAAGGGCCAACGTTAATCAGTGAATCCCTCACTGCAAATGAGAAAGTCTTCTGCATGCACCAAGAAGCAACATAACATTATTAGGGAATGACTAAGAATTTACAAAGAGGATACACAAAATTAACTACGCCAACTCAAAACCACAACAAATCAATTTAAACTAGAACAATTGATGCATCAATAAATATTCACCGCTTTTAAGAAACTACAAAAAGCAAAAGGTTAAGTTGACGATAAATCCTGTATTTCCACCCAAAAAAGAAAGAAATAAAGAAAGAAGAAAATAATGTAGAAAGATAAGGCATGTATGTAAATCTATACAACAGATAAAGACATGGAACATGGACATGACTCAAATACAGAAAATTAAAAACATAGACACGGACACATGGAGACAAACAACTATGAAATGCTATGGCATTAATTGTCATCTAACTGCTGGTAATCTACATTTCTGATATGGTAAAGTAGAAAATTTTAATTAGTGACTCACTGAAACGCCATAAATATTGTATACATTATTCTAAAATCAAGACTTCTATTTTGCATGCCCTAAAACATCTTCCTTTTACAGGTGTTTTTACTTTTCTTTATCAAGAGTGCTCATTGTATGCTTGATGTATTCATGCTGCATGCACAATAGAATGCATTGGAAGCCTTAGGTCTATTGGAGGCTGGTCAAAGAACTTGGATTGGGGCAAAGGAGGCCAACTTTAAAACAGAGTTTTGTATTTTAAAATCACTTGGGATTATAAAGACACAATCTAGGAGTCATAATCACAGGTGAAATGATGAGCAGCATTTCCAAAAGTGTCAGAGGTGTTCCTTCCACTAAGATTGTGGCTCCTCCTAAAAGTTCCATGCTTCATAAATGCAAATCATACCCAGCTTTGGTTCACATATTACACCCAAATACAACTCTCAAATGATTGGAAATTAAATGTGAAGTTAATCTTGACCTTGAAGACTAAAAGACCCAAAGCAAAAGAAAAGTAGACAAGTTAAGAGCATCAGTGCACGGTTTTGACTTGATAGGGCATGTTTATAATTTCAGGTTTATATTTTGATCTCCGCTAAATATCAGTCTGGTCAATCCACTCATCCTCCAACACCTCTTCAACAAATGGAGCCAAAGCATTTGACGTGGAAGTACATTTATGGAACCTTCAATTTTCAATGCATTCTTCGAATGTTCAAAGGAAGAGGGGCAAAAATTCAGAGGGAGGCCACTGACTCATTGTTGAACCTATTGCTCCCTACTTGTNCGATTCGTGTACCGTTATCGTATCGTCTATGGCCGAGTCGGATACGACTCGGCCGAGTCGTATCGGACTCGGCCGATACTTTGAACCGTGTTTTACTATGCTTAGTTCAGCCGGGTTTGACTATTGCTTCCTTTCATTCCAACTCATTATCAGGGAAAATATTTTTTGTAAAGGAAAATGAATTAAGGCCTACAATGTGTGGAAGAAAGATACTTCACCTGTGCAGACTGTGCATTATTTGGACCTGAGCTATATAAGGAAAGCTCTTCCCCACTAAGCATATCTTGCAAAGCATCAGAAGAGGACCTTTGTAACAGCTTTTGCCAAAGGGACATCTCCCTCAATATCCCCAACCTGAAGATGCAAGGGGAAAAAAAAAGAGCAACAGAGTCGGTGCTGACCATAGTATTCTAGANTATAAGGAAAGCTCTTCCCCACTAAGCATATCTTGCAAAGCATCAGAAGAGGACCTTCGTAACAGCTTTTGCCAAAGGGACATCTCCCTCAATATCCCCAACCTGAAGATGCAAGGGGAAAAAAAAAGAGCAACAGAATCAGTGCTGACCATAGTATTCTAGAGCGTTCAGAAAGCAAGAGTCAATTTAGGGAATAAACTAATTTCAAAAGTTCCAAATTCCAATACATCTTGTAAAAATATTCTTCACAGTATCCAGGATGGAGGGCCTATTAATTGACTTTCCAAGAAAATGAGAGCCACAATAAAAGGGTTCAAAGTTGAGAAAATGAGGACTTATAGCAAAAAAAATTAGACAGTGCGAAAAGACACAGGAAACCCAGATATCGCTGACTCCAGGCACGCACCTCCTCCTTCACACCAGGAGGCAACATTGATGCTCCTACTCCATAGCTAAATTGCACAAGCAAGCTATCTCCCAACCGACTACCAAAAAAGGATAACCAGTTCCCAATGGTTGTAATTCCCTGGGAAACCAAAAAAAAATAAGTTAAATACAATGGATCAAAAATTAAACAAATAGGCTTGTAACATACAGAGTATGGCAATTTTCCAAAAAAAACGGCTGACCGATGTAAGTACTGATGCTCGAGACTTGGAAAGGTCAAGTCTCTGCACAACCCTGCAGAAGGAAAAAGGAACACTTGATAAAGCAGGATGTTCATTCACTGAAACACAGCCAATAAGAGGGGGCAGGTAAAATAATAAGTAGCAACTAAATCTTGGAATTGTTACATGTACAAGTTTGGGCATTATTTCTAACTTTGGCTGAAAGCTAATAAATGTCTGGTCTCCTTGTCCTTGACCACATCCCAGGCCAAGTACACTTCTGTCTCAGTGTTATTAACACCCCCAAGGAGTTTTGAAAACCCTAAACTTCCAAACCTGAAACCTACCGAAATTCCTAGCAAATACGCGTTTCTATTCTGTGAAGTTAAGTTACTTCATTGCCTAGATGTGAGAAGTTCTAGGCTACAGTACTGCCAATATTGATTGAGTGCAAAATTTTAGTGCTGCGATTTTATAATGCTTCGAGGCACTGACAACAAAGAAGAAAGAGAAATTGCTTTGTCACCACCAGGGTCATTTGTCACTACATGTCAACGTTTTATCAAGAGAGAAAATAAGAAGCTCAACGCATCAGCACTTGTGAACTTTCCCATTGCTACATGACGCAATTTGGTTCCACAAGAAAAAAATAATGCTGATATGTTAACCAAGGATATAAATTCATGATGACAATCATCGAAGAGTATCTAAAACTTCCGCTATTTCGATTCCTTGTGAAACAACGAGGCCACCGAAATCTTCTCTTCCTTGCTTTAACATTCTGCAACTATTTAGGCTGGTGAACATTTCTCCACCAAGGGCAAGGAAATATATAGAACTCCAACGCAGACAATCAGAATTTTCTTTCCAAAATAAAGAAAACTAGAAGTGACGAGATTATCAAACAAATGTTATTTCTCAGCAAACGCTGAGACAAAAGATTATTATTCANAGGCTGGTGAACATTTCTCCACCAAGGGCAAGGAAATATATAGAACTCCAACGCAGAAAATCAGAATTTTCTTTCCAAAATAAAGAAAACTAGAAGTGACAAGATTATAAAACAAATGTTATTTCTCAGCAAACGCTGAGACAAAAGATTATTATTCAAACAAGCACCGGCAATAAGAGAAGTTAAAAGGTACACATTTCATCTTTATGAAAGAGAAATTGGGGAAGAAAAATAAAAGCAAGCTACCTCCTATCATTAGCAAGTGTCAACAGAAGCAGTTCCCCTGCTTTTGCTGACAACTTGGCCACATCATTTGTTAACCAAGTTGCATTGGCAGAGTCCAGCTCCACATTGAAACTTGATCTGGACATTTCCTGACTGGAACGAAAGCAATTACGATTTCGATATTAGAAAGAACTTAGGTGCCCCATGCAATAGGTCGGAATCAAATGCAGGGCATGTGCATACTTACTGCAGAAAAAACACGAGTCAAACTCCCCGTCCCTCCCGTCACCCCCGCAGAAGCAAAAGTCACTAACTCAGTAACAAAAAAAAAATAACTACAGGAAAATATAAAAACAAACAAAATCCACAGCAGTGTCAATGCAATAGAAAGGTTTACCTGANAAATGCAGGGCATGTGCATACTTACTGCAGAAAAAACACGAGTCAAACTCCCCGTCCCTCCCGTCACCCCCGCAGAAGCAAAAGTCACTAACTCAGTAACAAAAAAAAATAACTACAGGAAAATATAAAAACAAACAAAATCCACAGCAGTGTCAATGCAATAGAAAGGTTTACCTGGCTAGGATAATGAATAGTATTTGCACTAACTACAAGAACTCCACCAATTGGAGATGGCACTGCAAGAAGCTTGTATGCATCATGTGGAAGATTCTGATAAGAAGAAAGAGCATATCAAATCCAATCTGAATGCAAGCACTCTACACTGCAATTTAGAATAAGTTAAGACCCTGTTGTTTGACTTGTTCCTATATATATTGTACATTAAATACGCCAACACTATCAGGATTGTGACATTCGAGAACATTGTTATATCTCCAGTGAAACCAAATTTCAAACTTGGGCTTCAAATATCATGATGCTTGGGNCTCTACACTGCAATTTAGAATAAGTTAAGACCCTGTTGTTTGACTTGTTCCTATATATATTGTACATTAAATACGCCAACACTATCTGGATTGTGACATTTGAGAACATTGTTATATCTCCAGTGAAACCAAATTTCAAACTCGGGCTTCAAATATCATGATGCTTGGATGTAACATCAGCATAAATTTTGATAAAGTTCATGATCCTTTCACACCCAATATGACACTAAAACAAAATAGCAAAACTCGTAGTACGCAGCCATGCCTTCCAGAAATTTAATCATACTTCGTCAGTCAATTGCCGAGATTTATAACACTTGGCATCATAGAACATATTGACATGTCAAATTATGGAATAACAAATGGCCGTTAAGTAAAGAACTCTTGTTGTTTTTACTTTCTTTTTCCTTTTTTTTGCTNTTAATCATACTTCGTCAGTCAATTGCCGAGATTTATAACACTTGGCATCATAGAACATATTGACATGTCAAATTATGGAATAACAAATGGCCGCTAAGTAAAGAACTCTTGTTGTTTTTACTTTCTTTTTCCTTTTTTTTGCCCCTTCATCACCATAACCTTTCTTCCTATAACTGATAAATTCTCATAAGCAAGCAATCCATCATTTCAACAAGCACAAACAGAACTCTTGTGCTGCATGTCAAGAAAAATCCCAGTGTTCGACCATCTTGAAAACAGAAATATCAGGAAAAAAAATCCAAACTTTGTAGTTCTAATCAATCTTTGTTTTGTGTAAAACGAAAACTGATAAAACATATAATGTTGAATTTGACATGACACAATCAAAACCCATTTTCAGTTAAGACGTACTTACATCATGCAAACGTCAGGCAACCACATAATCAATGACTAAGCAGGTTTATCTCTCAGAAATCTCATCCCCAGTATATTAAAGAAAATATAAGCAAGGCACACACGCTTATTGTCAAATAGAGGTTGCAAGATCAGCAAAACCAAATCCGTTTGCTGTCCGAGTTTTTGATATTGTGATTCTGTGACATTCTTAAATTTCAAGTAGCACAAAATGGAGACATAACTGATGATGAGGAATCCAAATCTTAGCATCTAATTTGCACTAGAATATGATCCTTTAACGAGGTTCAATAGCAGCTTCAATGTTAAGTGAAAATATAAAATTCCGGTTAAGTAATTAGNTCAGGCAACCACATAATCAATGACTAAGCAGGTTTATCTCTCAGAAATCTCATCCCCGGTATATTAAGGAAAATATAAGCAAGGCACACATGCTTATTGTCAAATAAGCGTTTGCTGTGCGAGTTTTTGATATTGTGGTTCTATGACATTCTTAAATTTCAAGTAGCACAAAATGGAGACATAACTGATAATGAGGAATCCAGATTTAGCATATAATTTGCACTAGAATATGATCCTTTAACGAGGTTCAATTGCAGCTTCAATGTTAAGTGAAAATATAAAATTCCGGTTAAGTAAATAACAGGCATGTTTCCATCAGAAATACAACTTACAGAGGCTAACCATATGAGTGGATGTTGCTTCAATGTTGTGCTGATACTAAGTGCTGAAATCATACACGTATGATGTTTCCACAAGACACGCCCAGCCCAAGTAACCTCTCGTTCGTGCAGGATAGCCATCACCGGCTCAATATAACCTATAAAAGCAGTGATGCAAGTCAAATACCAAAATTATTTCCGACATGCCAACCACTTAACAATCTTTTAACTCAAACCACCGTGAAGTGAATACTTATGTATGTTTAAAACTAAAACTAACAGGAGTAGTTGCTCTGTTGTCTCACCATTCACGAAAATAAAATCCTTTACATGCTTCATATCCAGATCCCGTAAATTGATGATGTATGATGACTCGATACGAGAAGACACGGTGGGTCCGNTTACATGCTTCATATCCAGATCCCGTAAATTGATGATGTATGATGACTCGATACGAGCAGACATGGTGGGTCCANAGGAGTAGTTGCTCTGTTGTCTCACCATTCACGAAAATAAAATCCTTTACATGCTTCATATCCAGATCCCGTAAATTGATGATGTATGATGACTCGATACGAGAAGACATGGTGGGTCCAGCACTAAAGGCTTTGTCTTCACCAACCAAGCTAGAACCAGCCTAACATCCAAAATACCAGAAATGGAATCAAACATAAAGAAATCAAAAATTGGAAAATAAAGTGAAAAACAAATACGTAGTGTAACATAAAAACATGACTTGCTTTAACACAATGCCAGCCATGTTTAGTGTCCACATGCACCAGCGACGATAACGTGAGCAATAGAGGGAGACCCAAATTAAGTTTAAGAGAGATCATAAAAAGGACATGATAGTTGTTTGATATAGCATAATGGTAAAATGTCCAAAGTGTAATGCTGATAAATAAAGCCAAATCCTGTTTTACCTTTATCAGCTTCTGGCTGGTTACTGCTTATAGATTACAACCAAGGAAAGAATAAGAGATCTGATCAAAAGAAAGCCTAAAAAAAAGGATATGAGCTCATCTTTAGATCANGAAAGAATAAGAGATCTGATCAAAAGAAAGCCTAAAAAAAAGGATATGAGCTCATCTCCAGATCTCTGACCAGATCATAAAAGAATATAAGCATGTTTCCAGAATTCACTGCAATGAGTATAAGTAAAATCATATGAAGGTTTAGAGAATCTTGGACAAAAGGGTGAGAATTGCCAAAGCATGCTAAATTTATATATTCAAACATATGACATATGTGTCCAAAAACAATTGTAGCATCTTAGATATAGAGGTACAACAAGGGCTATCAAATGGTCAAACTAAGATTAAGCATCCAATCTGAGTCAAATAACTTACAAGATGGATTATCCAACACAACGCATCAATATTTAACTTGTGACTTTTGATTATAACTGAACCAAATGCAGCTGCAAATAGACTCAATCCACATGGAGGTTCATATAGATCGNGGGCTATCAAATGGTCAAACTAAGATTAAGCATCCAATCTGAGTCAAATAACTTACATGATGGATTATCCAACACAACGCATCAATATTTAACTTGTGACTTTTGATTATAACTGAACCAAATTCAGCTGCAAATAGACTCAATCCACGTGGAGGTTCATATAGATCANGAGTCAAATAACTTACAAGATGGATTATCCAACACAACGCATCAATATTTAACTTGTGACTTTTGATTATAACTGAACCAAATGCAGCTGCAAATAGACTCAATCCACATGGAGGTTCATATAGATCGACAAAATTCTGTAAATTCTTTTTTTACCTACTTCATACATCTTTACCAGAACATAATATTATTCTATTTTTATTATTTTTTCCGCAGATACCATAATGCATTGCATTACATAATTTTCTCCTAAAAGTTATATAGACAATATATTTGGATTCTTGCCAAGTCAAATCTCAAATTCATGATAGAATTCAAAGTTTGTTATGATCACCAAAGGTCTCTTGGATTCCATTTTGAACTTGAACTTTGGATTAAGTACTGCAATTAATCAAAGAGAGATTAAAAAGAAAGCAAGGGTGCAAAGAAATACTAGTAGTGGGGCATGAGAAGAAGACCTCAGCAGCCTTAAGTATTATCATCTGGAGGCCATAAACATGAACCCCAGCACACCTTCCTTGTGGATCAACTTTAACCACTGGACCTCTAGCAAACGATTCTCTACCTCTTTTCAGATGAAGCCACTCTGGACCCTCAAAACAGTGCATGGAGCTAAGCAAAAGGATAAACAAGTATCAAAAAAATATTAGCTTTGTAAACAAACTAATATCTGTAACCAACTGCACAAGGGAGAAGTGGGGAGAGGGGCTTTGTTCCTTGAGAAACTGATACACGAATCCACAGTATTCCAGCAATAAAAGGCAGAAACTTTGTTGGAAGGAACATTAATAAACGTTGTTTGAAGATCAACTTAGCATCTTTGAGCCAAGCCAATATTAGCGAACCGACGGCCCAAGGATATTTTAAATATTAAATATTTTCCATTTCCTCTATAATATTTTAAATCTTAAATATTATTCGCTACCACAAAGAGAGAAAAATATTATAAAATCACGGTATTTTGGTAGAAAACTCCACAAGTTAGCTTGTAATTTCCTGGTGCATAAAATGGAACATAATACACCATCCGCTGGTAATAGAAGCACAAACTAACAGCAAGACTAAAACTATAAATGACAAAAATTGAAAATAAATGGTTATAGACTGGTTGTTCCTTCAATTGCTACAACACAATAGAGACATCCCATATCAAAGAGCATCTCCAACTGTGGCCAACACAAATTTTCTTTATTTTATAACACTGTAAATAATCCCAATCAATGAAGCCTACTGAGGATGGCCAAAAGTTCATGGATCAGCGATGTGTAATCTCCATCTGAGTCGATAAAGTATATGATTGCAGAACCACTCAACATTGGCCTTTAGGAGAAAAGCTTTCTGTATTCATTTGCTTCTTGAGCCATCTCTTCAAGGCTTCTGTCCTTCCTTTCCTTATCCAAGTCAAGCTGCTGCTTTAATTCATTCTCCTTCACGTCTATCTGCACCATGAAAAAGAAACAGGCAATAAATTAAATTTCTTCAGCTCAAGGTTAACCTGGAAATAACAAATAGCGCAATCGACAAGATTCTCAATCTTACAGCATCATAAATTTCATCATTTTTCTCAAAGTCACCACTTTTGCGTGGGAGTATGTGGATATGAACATGAGGAACTGTCTGTCCTGCCTGAGGCCCGTCCTAAGGCATCAACAAATGTCAAGAAGTTAACAACAAAAAAACATCACTAGAAAATTATTCCTTCCCCAGCAGCAGAAACAGTCAGAGAAGGATTTCTACAAAAACTAACACAAAAATCACTGGAGTACGTAAATACTTGCGGCACATTAAAATGTTCTCATTCTTGTTAATTGATACTAATGAAGGCAATAATGCCATGACAGTGACTTTGCATAGTGCGAGGCAGGGGGTTCAGATCCAGGAAGGGTCTCAAACATTTATTTCGCAACACAGGACAGAATTTGTTTGCTTGATTTTGTTAGCTTAATTGGTAACTAGAGGCTTGAAAATATCAGCCAAGGCAAAACACAACAGTTACGCTTTAATCCACCAGGTTCAATGCTCTTTGAAGCAGTTCAACTTATGGATCATCATTCTTGTACCTTTTGTATTTCTGTAAAACCCTTCAGACAGCAGAAGGCAATAATTAACTTAACATGTCCCAAACAAATGAAACAGTAACATTCTGATAAAGCTAAAGACTGACTGCTTTATCAGATGTTTAACCAAAATAACATCATCTTTAACTATTTTTCAAACCAGTACAACCTAGACTGCCAGTTGCAGATTACACTGTATTATCTCTTTCATTATTATTATCACAACATCAAGTATGTGACATCAATTTGACTTATGCAACTTTTCTCTCTTTTTTATGAAGTGTTTCATTTGGATTGGTTCACGCCAAGATACGGCATCAAAAACAGTAACTGACTACATTTCATATGAAGGGGAGTTTTGTCACCCCAAAAAAAGTCAAAAAAGGTGACAAAATGTCTAGTTAGTAAATCCCAAATTCTAGGTTGCAGATCCACATATTCAAATCTGCTTTTGCGAAAATTGTTATTCAACTCTGGGAAGATGTAGACTTAACAGAAGGCATCCAGAAAATATATGATGAAAAGATAGGCAGAATTCAAAAAACTAACTAATGATTGACATTCCAACAGTGCAGCTGTCTTACTTGGATTGCAAATGTGAGGGAAGATGCCTTGTGGAGCGACTCAAGTCGACCACCAACTTTTTGCGCTGTAAGCCATAAATCATGAGTCTCATCAGCAGTCAGATCAACAAAGCGCTTCACCTCACGCCTTGGGCAGACAAGCACATGTATATAATGTCAAGGCAATCACATGATGGGATTAGGTTCCTAACTGAACCGTGCAACAATACCTCCACCTTAAATATGAGGCATGTAGGCACACATAACCATTTCGGTTTCAATGATATTACAGCTGTCAATTGACAAAAGCAATTAAATATTGTAGACACTAATGCAAATAGTCAGGATTTGATCATTCCCCTTTTGGCAAACACACCGCAGCCTCGGCAAAATATCATTATATGCAGCCCACAGCAGCATAATGGCATAGGCAAACAAGCATACAAAAAATTCTCATAAGGTCAACGAGTGACAAGAAGAAACGCCCTAACTTTAACTCACACATGGTTTGTGTCCATGCGCCCATACATAACACATGTATGTGCAGGAAGAATAATAAAACAAACTGCCCTGCTATACAAGTTAGAACTTACTAGTAACACATTCCCCACCCAAATTCCATTGAATTATAATCAGCTTCAATCAAAAAGTAAGTTTGCCATGTAACTAGTTTCCACTTCACAATGCTGACACTGATATTGCCCCTGCTGCCATGATAGCTAAAGTAGACATAAACTAACGTACAAAATCCTCACACAACCAGCTTATGAGTGTTCGTATATCTCTTACATAAGGAGATATGTGCCCATCTAGAACGACGTGAAATGATTGTGCCACAGCATAACTGTTTGCCGTGGATTGCATACCGTCAAGTGACAACAAAGGGTATTACTGTGAACATTTTTCCGATTACATGTGGAGGCTACAACAAAATTACCCAATTTAACCCGGATAAAAATGTATAATGCTAAAATAATTAGAATCAATTCCATATTTCTTTCCAACATAGACAAAGCAAAGGATATGACCTGAAAAAAGAAAAGAAAATAGATCACAATCAAAGAAATTACTAGAGAATGGGAATAGTAAAAAAAAGAAAAGAAAATGAACAAAATGCTTTATTAATGGCTAATACAGGGGATGGGCCTCATTTATCGCCAATCAGAAGGAATAACAGAGAGAATAAACATGAATACATGCAAAATGATCAACGAAAAAATGAGAGTTTAAGAAGTCCTGGATCTGTATAATTGTGTATGATGTGTATGCTTTGTGTCTGTCTATGTCTGTTTTCACACACATGAATGTATTTGGTTGTGTGTACACAAGTGCATACATGCACATAACAGCTGCTGATGGTAATTTCTAAAAGCAGAAACTGGCTGATTACAAAAAGCTACGACTGATTGCCTGGAAAATGGAAATGCATCAGAAGGACCACCTTCAGTATGCTGGCCCTCGAATATTTTGCTTCCCGGATGTAAATTTGTGCACACTAGTGTTTAATTGAATTAGTAAAACATGACCCCAGATTCTACACTTGACGCATGTTACTTTTACATTGAGGTAGGCAAACACAGCTTGAAGAGACCACAATTAAGAATTTGAGCTAGAGTGGTGTGCTTCCTATTGATGTAATGCTAGGGTAGATGAGGTAGTGCTAGGGGTAGGGATGAATCACAATTGACATTGTTCTTTAATAAATCATGTGGTCCTCTGTTAAACACAATAGCGAGACAAGGTCCATGTAGTCCACTCCAGCTAGACATGATTCATATATTTGACTCCAAGATTCCAGTTGGTTGGGGCACGGCTTTGATAATTGAGTTCTTTGCATATATTTCATTAACCAACCTTAAAAATATAGAAAAGAATTAACGAGCCCAAGTAACCCTAAATACATAAACTAGAAGTTCTAAAACACCGACAATAGTGGTAAAGAAATGTCTGCATGAAAACAAGTTTTCCATATAACGCGGCCTCAGAAATCATAATCAATTTTACAAGACTACATTCACAGTCTTATCTTAACGCTTTCGAATGAAATACAATGTATGCCTTGGGAAAACCCTAAATCGTGGTGCACCACAGGCATGATTGTAAGATTTATGCACACAGAACCCAAGTGGTCACCCGTCTCTGTGTGTGTGTGAGTGTGTGCTTGTTTGTTCACATATATATATAAAAAAATTACCAGGAACAACAGGGCGGAGGTTGACCATGGCATAGGAAAGGTCGTTGAAGTAGAAGACTTCCTTGTGACCAATTTTGTATGGTCCGAACGTATAATACTCCGACTCCATCTGAGAGAATTTTGATGCGAATATGAATGAAAATTGCATTACAACTGCCCGAGCGAATGAACTGAAATTCCAACAAAAACGAAAAAGTAAGCTATTTACGCTTGCCTTGTGGGTAGATGACGACGCTCTTACAATGTGTAAGCACTGTCTAAGGGAGGGCTTGGTGGTGACGGTGGTGGTGGGAGAAGTGGCGGCGATGGATCGGAGTCCTCCGGATGAATACAGTGAGATGAACCGAGAGGAAGATAAACAGGGCAGCAACTTTAGCATTACTTTAGACTTCGGTGCTGCTTTGTGCCTCGGGATTCTCAAATTTTTGTAATTAAGTTATTTTTATGTCTTGGGTGCTCTCAACACGTCAACAATAGATTAGGGTTATTTTACATTCTTCATTCGAAATTTATATGAAGAAAAATTATATTTTTTATACCCATCAATCGAAAATTAAGGTTATTTATATGAGTAAGAATTATGATATTTTATCTTCCTATCAAATATTATATAAATTAATTTTTTTTTATCCGACCTTATCTGATCAAGTGTATTACTCCTACTTGAATTTCGTCCAAAATAATCAAGTAAAAAATTGGGTGAACATATATTTTTTAATTATTAAATTTGAATTATTTTAACAATTTAATTAAGTAACTTGCATTAATTAACCAACATAATAAATCAATAATACAAAAAAAACATAATAAATTAAATAATACATAAACAATTACAATAAATCACAATAAAAAAATCATAAACATCAGTACATCAAGATTGTTGTACAAATATAATACCAATTGTTTTACGTCTAAACCATATCACACACACACACACACACACACACATATATATATATATATATATATATATGCGGGTAGGGTCGAGTAGGAATACAAAATTTTTAAGGGTATTCTGCATTTCTATCCAATTTTTATGGAATACCAAAAATTCTTCCTTTGGCCTATTCGATCTTTTACGATAGCCAATTGGTAGGGTTGGATAAGATCAGATAGGGTCAAAATATGCGAATAATCAAAAATTTGAACACCCCTATCAAACCAAACCAAGCCTTATGTTCCAATCATTTGGGATCAGTTATATCAATCCATCTTCGTCATTCATTTCAATCATGCGCTATATGTTCATTTAAGTTAAATATTTTCATATCTTTTCTTATTATGTTGTTCAATATTAGTTTAGGTCTACTTTTACTTCTAGTACTATTAAGAGAAATTATATCACTTTTTTCTAACTGGTGCTTCTATTGGCCTCCATTGAACATGACAAACCATTTTAATCTATTATTTCTTAACTTATCTTCAATTAGAGCTACTCGTACCATTTCTCTAATACAGACATTTCATATTCTATCATTTCTAATTTTTCCACACATCCACCTTAGCATCTCATTTCCGCTACACTCATTTTGTCACTATGTTGTTTCCTAATTGTCTAACATTCAGTCTCATACAACATTGTTGTCTTTATAACTGTTTGATAAAACTTACCATTCAATTTTATTGGTATCCTTCTATTACATAATATGTTAGAGGGTTTCCTCCATTTAAGCCAATTGGTGTTGATTCTATGAGTTACATCATCTCCGATCTCTCCATCATTTTGAATGATTGATCCTAGATATCTAAATCATTTACTCGTTGGTATTTCTTGATTTTCAATCTTAACTTTTCGTTATGTCTACTTGTTTTATTACTAAAATTGCATTTCATATATATTGAGTTTTACTCTTACTTATTTTAAATCCTTTCAAGTTAAGTGTCTTTCTCTAAATTTTTAGCTTATTGTTAATCCCTCTTTGAATCATCTGCACATAGCATACATTGTGGGACATCATCTTGAATGTGCCTAGTGAGTTCATCTATAATTAGGGCAAATAGATATGGACTTAGGGCCGATCCTTAGTGTATTTCAACCATGATTAAAAATTCTTTATTTTCTTCCACAAAAAACTTAATTATAGTTATAGTCCTGTCATACACGTCCTTTATCACCTCAATATATCTATTCGTCACTCATTTTTTCAAAAACCCTCCATATTATTTCTAGGCACTTTATCGTATGTCTTTTCTAGATTTATAAATACCATATGAAGATTTTTCTTATTCTCTCTATACTTTTCTATGAGTGTCATCAATAAATATATAGCCTTCATAGTTGATCTGCTTGGTATAAACCCAAATTGATTTTCCTACACTATAGTCTCAACTCTTAGGCGATGTTCAATGACTTTTTCCCATAGTTTCATTATATGACTCATTAATTTTATCCCTTTATAATTATTACAATTTTGAATATCTTCTTTATTTTTTGTAGATAGGTGCTAAAATACTCTTTCTCCATTCATATGATATTTTTGTAGTAGCAATAATTCTATTGAATAATTTCGTTAGTTACGTCACCCCCCTCATTCTCTAAGCACTTTCAAACCTTAATTGAAATCTCATCAGGTCCTAAAGCCTTGTCTAATTTCATTTTCTTCAATACAAATTTTACCTCTGAATTTTTTATTCTACGAAAGAACGTTTTATGAATCCTACAATTTTCTATCTCTTCTAAGTTTTCTAAGTGATTGTAATTTAATAGTTTCTCAAAATAGTCTTTCCATTGATCATTTATTTCCTTATCTTTAACTAAAGCTTTTGAGTCTTCGCCCTTGATGCACTTAACTTAGTTAAAGTCTCTTGTTTTTCTTTGTCTAATTTTAGCTACTTTGTTAATGTTTTTTTCTCCCTATTTACTATCTAATTTTTTGTACAACTCATCGTAGTCTTTTAACTTACCGTGTCTAACTATCTTTTTGACCTCCTTGTTAGTTAATTTATATCTTTGGAATTTCTCGTTAGTTCTATCATTTTGTCATCTCTTAAAGAAATATTTCTTTACTTTAACTATATTTTGTACGTCGTCATTCCACCACCAAATTTCTTTTTCCATAAACCCTCTACCCTTTGACTCCCCAAGAACTTCTTTCCAATTTTCCTAACGTCTTCCGTCATCATACTATACATAACGTTAGTATCATCNCATAAACCCTCTACCCTTTGACTCTCCAAGAACTTCTTTCCAATTTTCCTAACGTCTTCCGTCATCATACTATACATATCGTTAGTATCATATTCTAGGTTCCATAAAGCCTCCTTAAGCATTCTACTTCTAAATAGTACTAGTTTCTCATCTTTTAGATTCTACCATCTCGTTCTTGTTTTTCGAATGCTTCTATTTACTCTATGTTTCCTTTTATATATAAATCTAGAATTTTTAGCCTATGTTAAGATGTTAAGCTCTCTTCCGAGATAACATTACAATCTTTAGATGCTAATCAGTTTGTTCTTCTACTTAAGAAGTAGTTTACTTAACTTTTGTTTGGTCTGTTCTTAAAGGTTATTAGATGTTCTTCTTATTTTGTAAACAAGGTATTTGCCACTTCAATGTCATATGTCATTGTAAACTCTAAAGTACTCTCTTCGTAGGGGCAGAGCCAGGAATTTATACGTGGGGGACACTGACTATAAGTTTAAAAATTTGTCTTCTTAAGGATTAAAGTTAAAGACAAATAAATTTTTTAAATTATATATAATACCTAAAATTTCATTGACAAAAGAGTCAAAAATCAATATACATAGGGTACAAAAACAAAAAAAAAAATTATAAAATAAGGTTCTAATTAGACCCCTTTACAAAAAATGAGACTAACTATAGTCTTTTACAATTGGCTACAACGTGATTTCATATTTTGAAAGCGTTGCATGATAATCAATGCAATCGAAAATGTCATTCTTTATGTATACAATCAAGTTATTTGTCATCCATTGATCGTTCATTCAATTACGCAATCGATTCTTCAAAATCTTTATAGTCGAAAATGATCTCTCTATTGTGGCAGTCGCAACTGGCAAGATCAATGTCAATGTCACAAGTAAGTAGACCAATGGATATACCACGTATTTTTTTGTCTCAACCATTTTTTGGGTAAGATCTTCAATCCCCAACAAATTTAAAAACTAAATACTACTAGCGCATATCAATAATATAGCTATCCAGCCGATCAGAAAGTATCATGAGTTCTAGTGAAGAAAATTCTTTTGGATAAAAATGGGCAAGACGAACCAATTTCTCATTGTCAAAAGCTAAGAAGGAATCAGAAGGACTCAAACATGTCACATAAAGAAGTAAATTAGTGTTTGACTCGATAAAACAACTATTTAGCTCTGAAAGTTGCATATTTATGACGGTATAAAATAACTCAACTTGATTGTGATACAAATTTGTATTTTCTTGAGTACGTCTTGACCTCCCTCGTGCTTTAAAGATATCATCCATCTTTGGAACAACTATCTCATGTGTTTTCACAAAAAGATGTGACATCATCAAGAAAACATCTCCAACCATTTTTCCTCATTATTTGAAGTCATTGCTTGGATACTTAAACTAATATCATGACATTCACGATATCTTGATCTTTCCTTTGTAATGCCTGTGACAACTCATTTGTGATTCCTAAAAATGCTTCTCATCAAATGAAGATTGAATACAAACTCAAACAATTATAGCAAATCCAAAAGAATATTTGTCTCCCCTCTTTGTTCTGCATTTATACCATCTTTTGAAACCATATCAAGTACATCAATCACTGATGAGAACATATCAATCAAGCTGATCAAAGAAGAATAATAATGTATCACAAGCACATGTAAGATTAATTTCATGATTTAGGTCTCGCTCACTTGAAAGCTCCTCATTATGGAGTAATTTAATAACTCTAGTTGTTTGTTTCTCCCTAAGAATATTTGGTCGTTTACGTGAGGCTCCCACAACATTCACAATATTAGCAACCAAGTTGAAAAGAGTCGTGATGTGAATATGATTCTTTGCAACGACTACAAGAGCTAATTTCAATTGATGCGAAAAATAATGGATATAATATGCATATTTATTCTCCTTCATTATAAGTGTCCAGAGACCATTGAACTCACCTCGCATATTACTAACCCCATCGAAACCTTGCCCGCCCAATCTTGACAAGCTCAATCCATGTCTAGCAAATAAATCTTCTACAGCTACCTTAAGTGAGAGAACACTAGTATTAGTAACATATTTAAAACCTAAAAATTGTTCAACTACATATTCCTTCTTGTCCACAAATCGCAACACAACAACCATTGGTTCCTTTGTTGATATGTCATGTGATTAGAAAACAGTGCATCACCAAGGTGGGTCACAAATAGCATTACACGTTTCAACAGAAGCTACAGTTA